TAACCAAAATCAAACTTTCTCAAGCTTAAAATTTGAATCAAAGAGTGGGTTTCAAAGGGTTTTACCTTAAATCAGTTGCTCAAGCTTTGTCTCCCTCAATTTATCTGTTTTTCATTTTTTTTTGGTGATTCTCGGCCAAACTGCTAAGAGAGAGAGGGAGAGAGAAACCCGGAGAGAGAGAGCAAGGGAGAGAGAGAGGACGATGGCGGGAGGAAGCCCGGAGAAGGAGGTGGCCGTCGATGGAAGAAAATAGAGAGAGAGAGGGGGGGGCTGCGCTGGTGCACGGGAAGAACCAGAGAAGAAGAAGAAGAAAGAAAAGAAAAAAAAAAGAAAAAAAAAAAAGCGGGCGGGCACACGGGAAGGGAAAGGGGGAAAAGAAAAAAAAAAGAAAAGAAAAAAGAAAAAGAAAAAGAAAAAAAGACGAAAAAGAAAAAGAAAAATGGAGAAAAGGGAAAATGTATTAAATTTAAGTGTGTTTTCTAAAAATCTTTGGGGTGAAATTATAAATACTGAAAATAACTTAAACATGTTTAATTCTAGAGGGCGTTACATTCTACCCCCCTTAAGAAATTTCGTCCCTGAAATTGAAATTTACCTCACGATATGAACAGATACGGATATCGTTCCTGCATCATCGTTTCCAATTCCCACGTTGCTTCTTCAACGCCATGGTGTTGCCACAACACCTTCACTAACGGTATCTCACATTGACGTAGGCTTTTCATCTTCCGGTCAAGAATCTGTACGGCCGCTTCTCGTAAGTCGTGTCACACTGGATCGGCACGTCATACCATTGCACAATGGCTTCTGGATCAGGTTGACACTTTCGAAGCATTGAAACATGGAACACATTATGCACGTGAGACAATTCCGGAGGAAGATCAAGGCGGTAAGCAACGACACCTACTCGTTGTGTGATCTGAAATGGCCTGATGTACCTCGGTGCGAGCTTCCCTTTCACACCAAAACGAGTAACTCCTTTGCGCGGTGAGACTCTTAACAAGACAAAATTGCCCTCTAAGAACTCTAAGGGTCTACGCCTCCTGTCAGCATAACTCTTCTGACGACTCTGAGCCGTTAACAGTCATTCCCGGATCGCGGCTATCTTTTCATTATTCTCCTGGATAACATCCGGTCCAAGGGTCAGTCGATCTTCTGACTCAAGCCAACAAACTGGCGATCTACAAGGTCTGCCATACAACGCTTCGAATGGGGCCATCCCAGTGCTACTCTGATAACTGTTGTTGTAGGCAAACTCAGCTAAATGAAGATACTTCTTCCAGTTTCCACCAAAATCTAGAATGCAAGCACGAAGCATGTCCTCTAAAATCTGAATAACTCTCTCAGATTGTCCGTCGGTCTGAGGATGAAATGCGGTGCTAAAATTCAGTTCGGTTCCCATGGCTTCTTGGAAACTTCTCTAATATCTAGCGTTGAAACGAGTGTCACGATCTGATGTGATAGGCAACGGAACTCCGTGAAGTCTGACAATGTGCTCCAGATACAACTCTACTAGAACTTTCCTGGAATAGTCGCACGAAAGGGAATGAAGTGCGCGGACTTCGTTAACCTATCCACACGACCCATATGGCATCATGTCAATGTTCAGTCCTCGGCAATCCCATCAGAAAATCCATCGTAATGTGTTCCCACTTCCATCCAGGAACAGGAAGAGACTGCAGTTCTCCAGCAGGTTTTCGATGTTCAGCCTTGACTCGAAGACAAGTCGCACATTCTGACACGTATTGGCGAACATCCTTCTTCATACCTCTCCACCAATACTGCTTTTTGAGGTCTTGATACATCTTGGTACTCCCAGGGTGAATAGCGAACCTCAATTTGTGAGCCTCGTGAAGGATTGTCTTCTTTATCTCATCCACTTGAGGAATGGTAAGGCGATTCCTGAAGTAGAGCGTTCCATCTTCCCAAATATTCCATTCATCCAGTTTTTCTCCATTCTGAACTCGAGTCCAAATTCCTTGAAGATGCGAATCCTGCCATTGGTTCTGCTTGACTTGCTGTATAAGGATTGGCGTTGAAACCAAATTGTACACCATAGCTTGGTTAGAATCCTCATAATACTGAAGATTATAATCACCTACAATTGCACTCCGTTTCTAATCTTCCCATGCCAAAGATGCTAGAACTCCTGGAGTCTTTTTGCTGAGAGCATCTGCTACTACGTTGGCTTTTCCAGGATGATACTGCAATGTGAAGTCATAATCCTCCATGTATTCCATCCACCTTCTTTATCTCAGATTTAAGTCTTTTTGAGTGAACAGATATTTCAAACTCTTATGATCAGAGAAGATCTGGAATTTTACTCCATAGAGGTAGCATCTCCATATCTTGAGAGCAAAAATCACTGCTGCTAACTCTAGATCATGCGTGGGGTAGTTCTATTCATGTGGCTTCAGTTGATGAGATGCATAGGCCACAACCTGTCCATTTTTCATCAAAACACACCCCAAGTCCTCGTCTTGATGCATCAGAATACACCTCGTACGGCTTATCGCTATTAGGAATCATCAGAATCGGCGCACTGGTTAGCCTAGTCCTCAGTTCTTGGAATGCATGTTCACAATCAGCATCCCATTCAAACCTGACTTCCTTTTTAGGCAACCGCGTCATTAGAGCAGCAATACTCGAAAAATCCTTTACAAATCGTCGATAATACCCCGTAAGTCCTAGGAAGCTTCGAATTTCGGCAACGTTCTTCGGTCGTTCCCATTGTAGCACCGTTTCAATCTTTGAAGGATCCACTGAAATTCCTTGTCTAGATATAACATGTCCAAGGAACTTGACTTCTGTCAACCAGAAATCACATTTCTCCTTCTTTGCGTAAAGTTGGTGTTCTCGAAGAGTCTGGAGAACGATCCTCAAATGTTGCTCGTGCTCTTCCCAAGTCTTTGAATAAACCAGGATGTCATCAATGAAGACTATCACAAACTGGTCTAAATATGGGCGGAAGACTCGATTCATCAAATCTATAAAAGCGGCGGGAGCATTCGCCAATCCAAAAGGCATTACTAAGAACACATAATGCCCATAGCGAGTTCTGAAAGCTGTTTTTGGTATATCATCTTCCTAATCTTCAACTGATGATACCCGGATCTCAAGTCAATTTTTGAGTAATATTGTGATCCTCCCAGCTGATCGAACAACTCATCGATCCTCGGCAATGGATACTTGTTCTTCACGGTAACCCTATTCAACTGTCGGTAGTCTATGCACAACTGAAGGGATCCGTCGTGCTTTTTCGCAAACAAGATAGGTGCACCCCACAGAGAAGTGATGTTCCTAATGAATCCCTTTTCTGCCAACTCTCTGAGCTGTTTCCTTAGCTCTTTCATCTCCACAGGCGCCATTCGATACGAAGCAATAGAAATCGGAGCCGTCTCCGGAAGTAAGTTGATGCAAAACTCGATCTCCCGATCAGGCGGTAAACCAGGCAACTCATCAAGGAATACATCCGCATATTCATCAACCATGGGGACCTCAACATTCTCCCCGGCGATACCGGATTCACCCTCTAATGCCGAAAGGAATGAGAAACAAGCTAAATTCCGCCGTCCTCCGACACTATGCCTCAGTAGTCGTTCTTCTGTAACTGGGTTAACACCTCCATGATACGTTACTGTTGTGCCAGAACCAGTAGTCAAGGTGACTCTCATACGGTGGCAATCAACAATCGCCCCATATCTTGACAACCAATCCATTCCCAGCACCACATCAAACTGATTCATGGGAAGGATTATCAAATCTGCCTTTAATTTCTCACTTCCAATCGTGATCACACACGACCTACATACACTAGTCACCTCCATACATCCCAATGGAGAACTTATAAACATTGAAGTCTCTAAGTCATCGGGTTTCAAACCCAAAATTTTCACAAAAGAAGTGGAAACAAAAGAGTGCGTAGCACCAGTGTTGAACAAAACTCGTGCAAAAGAATGTGAGATAGGTACCATACCCTCGACGACTGGGTTTCCGGCATGAGCTCCAGAACTTCCCCCGGCCATGGTATGCATCTATCCCGGTGCTTTCCCTTTTCCTCTCTCATTGTTGTTAGGTCTCTGGTTTCCAGGTCTGTACTGTTGTTGCGGCGGGGTAGACTGTACCAATACGAAAGCCTGTAGCCAGAAATAAGAGTAGTTCGGCGGACGGAAGATCGATGCAGGAGGAATTGGCATATGGACAGGCAACTGGGGTTGATAGAAAGGCGTGAACTGTGGAAGTGTGTCTTGACTAGGAGCAATACCCCTTTGAGTCTGCGGTAATTGCTGGGTCTGTTGGTTCACCAGTTGGCCCATGAGAGGACAGTTCCTCTTGATATGCCCTAGCTCCCCACAATGGTGGCACTTGAAGCTATAGGGTCCACTCTTCCCACTTCCCGAAGAGCCACTGCTACCACTAGGCACTCCCCCACTACCTTGCCCTTGATCACGGCTTTTTCTGTTATTCCTTTGAGGTCCTCCTAAAGTTTTCCCTTAAACTGCTCGATCCTGGAGGAAGGCGATGTACTCTTGTTCAACAGAGATGGCTGCAGCAACCAGGCCACTGTAGACTCAATACCTTAAAGCTACCACTGATTTTTGGATCACACCCTTAAGACCTTTCTCAAACTTTAGGCACTTCATGCGCTCCGATTCAATCAAGGAGGGAGCAAAATGGGAAGAGCGCTTCGAATTGTTCCCAAGTCATCCCCTCTACATCATGCATTCACCGGATATGCTTCCACCACGCACCTGCAGGACCTTCAAACTTAAAAGCTGCAAACTCCACCCAATACTCATCCGGTACTCCCATGGTACTTTTGAAACTTAAACCTGTTTAAGAGAATGATTAGCATATAATGTTGCAAACATTGGAATTTCCAACCAAACCAGTTTAAAACCACGTCCCTGGTATCATGTCAGGAATTCCAAAAGGTGTTTAGCATACATGAATATAAACAAGAGTAAATGTGACATCAACCACAGTCTAGTAATATTTAAGTTTACAATCCATAATCTTTCATACATGCCTTGAGATAGGGGATTAGAGGAAATACAACTCTTCACTTTCCTGAAACAAGTCCACATCGCCGGTAATAGCTACTTACTCCGCACTACTTCTGGCGTTGCCTGGAGGGGTTTAATACACTTGAAAACAGGAAAAGGTGAGCGAAAGGCCTAGTAGGATGTAATTTTATAAAGCATTTAAAATAAAGGTACTCACGGTCCGAAGATATACACCCGGAACCGATCATCCTTTTTTTTTGAAAAAAGGAAATACTCACATAATAGAATATGTATGTATAATGAAAGTGTACAGCTCATCATACCACTAAACAAGAAGCGGTAAAAATGTCTGTCTAATGAAAAGTGCAGAGCCATAATTCCACTAAACAAAAAGTGGATTCGTACGGGTTTCGGGACCTGCCCCCAAGGATGCGATTCCCACATCCCGATCTCTGAGGCCACCATGCATTGTATCATTCCTTAAAATATTTCATTTTAAGAAATGATACGCTTTGAAATCTCATTTCCAAAATCATTGGAAAACTTAATAGCATTCTCATGCTATTTCTTTAAAATCATTTTCTTTAAACATGTTTTGTTCTAAAACATTTTCATTGGCCAAAAT